TATCAAACTTGCACATGAAAATCACTCCTTATGAAAGCAAAAGACTCGGCAGGAGATGCAACATTCCCCTAATGAACAGCAGGGGCACCACGAGTTCATTGAGAGATAACACAATAAGTGTCTGGGGCCCAAGACTATTCAGCTGCCTCCCAGTATACATAAAGGGGATTACCAATAGACCACTAGCTGTCTTCAAGAAGGCACTGGACAGGCACCTAAATTCAGTATCTGACCAACCGGGCTGTGGTTCGTACTGTCAGTTTGTGTACGGCCAGCAGTAGCAGCCTGGTTGATCAGACCCTGATCCACCACGAGGCCTGGGCTCAGATCGAGCCACTGGGGCGTTGACCCCGAAACCCCCTCCAGGTAAACTCCAGGTAATACTACATCTGCATTTTATTTGATTCTAGAGCATCCAGGACCTTGTCCTGTTGGTCCAGTAGTTGGGACAGGCAGGAGCGACCTGCTGTAAACCCATGTTGCCCTGGGTTGTGTAACTGATGTATGTATATCTAGATGAGTGGTGATCTTGCTTCTTAGACCCCCTTTCAAAGATTTTTATGATATGGTACATTAGCACTATTGGTTTGTAATTCTTTGCTATTGCTTTACTGCCCCCTTTGTGGACTGTGGCTGTCTGTTGTTTTAAGTGACTATTGGATGACCCCTGTGTCCATGCTCTCTCTCCTTAGAATGCTACAGGCACATGACGGGCTTCTTGCAGTTCTTGATGAACATGGAGTTCCTTGAGTCCGGGCCTGGGGCAGAGTGCATGGGCATGTCATTTACTTCCATTTCGAAGTCATGTGGTGTTAGAATAATATCAGAGATGTTTGAATTGACCAAATTCTGAGTCTTGGTCATAAAAAAGTCATTTAAGTTGTCGACTCTTAGTCTGGTTTGCGGCTCACTAAACACTGAGTCATGATGGGCCATAAGTATCTAACTCATTTGTTTGCTGTCATCTTTATTAAGTCCCATCTTGTCTAAGCAGGGGTCCAATACTGGATGTTGTTTTAGCTTTAGATTTGGCATAAGAAAAGAAATATTTTGAGTTTCTTTCAGTTTCATTTATGGCTTTTATTTCTTCCCGAGTTTCTTGTCTCCTGTATGATTCCTTAAGCTTAAGTTCAATATTTGCTATTTCTCTGCCCGGTGCTTCCCTTTGTATTTCAGATATACTGGCTTCTCTCAGCAACTGTTTGATTCTTTGCCTTTGCCTGTATAAGGAGCAACTCTTTCTTTCTAGTTTACATCTCTTTCTTTTTCTTGAAGGAATATGCCTTGAGCATACCTCAAGTGCCACTGAGTTAATTCTGTCTAGGCAAAGGTTCGGATCCGTGTTGTTTAGGATATCTTCCCAGCTTGTTTCATTTAGGACATGGTTAACTTGATCCCACTGTATGTTTTTGTTAATGAAGTTGAATTTGGTGAAGACACCCTCATAACTGATCACATTTTGCTGGTCAGGAGCCCTATGCGTACTTATCTATACCTCTATTATTATGTTGTGATCTGAGTGTATTGTCTTTGATACTGTTATACAGTGGTACTCCAAGTTTCGAACTGCTCCCAACTCGACCAATTATGTAAATGTATTATTGTAAGTGCTTTTGTATCAAATCCTCATTGTTAGTGAAGACAAGGTCTGGTGTATTCTCCAGCCATGTTGGCTCAGTTATCTGCTGGTTTAAGGTGAATTTGGTCCAAAGATTTAATAGCTTATATGTGTGTGAATTTTCATTTGAGCTGCTGCTGCCTCCTGGTTTTTTTTTATTTATTTTTATTAACACATCGGCCATTTTCCACCAAGGCAGGGTGGTCCAAAAAAGAAAAACTTTCATCATCATTCACTCCATCACTGTCTTGCCAGAGGGGTGCTTTACACTACAATTATAAAACTGCAACATTAACACCTCTTCTTCAGAGTGCAGACACTGTACTTCCCATCTCCAAGACTCAAGTCCAGCCTGCCGGTTTCCCTGAATCCCTTCACAAATGTTACTTTGCTTACACTCCAACAGCACATCAAGTCCTAAAAAGCAATTTGTCTCCATTCGCTTCTAACATGCTCATGCTTGCTGGAAGTCCAAGCCCCTCACACACAAAACCTCTTTTACCCCCTCCCTCCAACCTTACCTAGGCCGACCCCTACTCCGCCTTCCCTCCACTACAGATTTATACACTCTTAAAGTCATTCTATTTTGTTCAAGCCTCTCTACATGTCTGAACCACCTCAATAACCCATCCTCAGCGCTCTGGATAATTGTTTTGGTAATCTCGCACCTCCTCCTAATCTCCAAACTATGGATTCTCTGCATTATATTCACACCACACATTGACCTCAGACATGACATCTCCACTATCTCCAGTTTTCTCTTTGCAACATTCACCACCCATGCTTCACACCCATATAAGAGCATTGGTATAGCTATACTCTCATACATTCCCCTCTTTGCTTCCATGGATAAAGTTCTTTGTCTCCACAGACTCCTCAGTGCACCACTCGCCTTTTTCCCCTCATCAGTTTTATGATTCACCTCATCTTTCATAGATCCTGGGGTTATCTCTGTTGAAACATTATTTGTTACATTCCTCCATTTTGGCTGTCTTAAGTTGAAATCCCCCAGCAGCAAAATGTTTGGTGCAGGAGCTGGAAGATTTTCCAGACAGTGGTCAATTTTGAAAAGTTGTTCCTGGAATTGTTGGGAAGTTGCATCTGGAGGCTTGTATACAACCACAATGACAAGGTTTTGATTTTCACTCTTTACTGCCAAAACTTCAACTACATCATTTGAGGTGTTTAGTAGTTCCAAGCATATGGGTGACTCTGTGACATACAGGCTAACCCCCATCCCTTGTTACCTGTTTACTTTGTCACATCGAATATGTTATAACCTAGGGTCCATATTTCATTGTCAAAGTGATCCTTCATGCGGGTCTCTGTGAAAGCTGCAAACATTGCGTTTAACTCTGTGAGTAGTCCACTAATGTAAGGTACAGTGGTACTTCGGGATACGAACTTAATTTGTTCCAGAAGGCTGTTCGAGTGCCGATACCAAATGAATTGGTTCCCATGAGGAATAATGTAAATTAGATTAATCTGTTTCAGACCCCCAAAAATACACTTACAATAGCACTTACATAAATACACTTACATAATTGTTCGAGTTTTGAGCTGTTCGTATCCCGAGGTACCACTGTACGTATTTTGTTGTTTGTTGTTGGCTTTAAACCCTATACATTTGCTAAGATAAACGTTGTTGTATTCATGGTATGTGGGGGGGGGGATTGTTTGCTGGCACTAATATCTGTTCTTTTGGAGTGGAGGCCACTGATCTGAACTGGTGTACAATTTCTGTCATTTCTTGCCAGCTTTTTGTCCTTCCTGGCACTAAAAAAGCTTCTTCCACTGGTGTGGTGGTCACTACCCTGGTTTGCTTCCCCAAGGTCTGAGTGATCTGTATCTTCTTGTTCCCTTTAGATGGTGTGCTTGACATTATATGTTGTAGCATTGTCTTTCCTGGACTGAAGAGCAACACATTTCAGGATGAAAGAAATTACAGGAAGGAGAGTTGCATTCTTCTATTGTCATGTGGGCACATTTTCTGGGATGATCAAAATTGTACATCCCACCTGTTTTTCCAGATATTCCATGCCTGCAGATACCCAGGGCATAGAATTTGCATACGTTTGATTTCTGTTTTTTTCATGGCTGCATTCCCTATTGGTGCTTTTTTTTTTCTGACTCCGCACTATCTACAGCACCTGTACTAACAATGATGCCTCCACCAGTTTTTACAGGTAGTGTATCAACACTGTTCCTCAGAGCATTATCCCCTTGTTTGCCATCTCCAGTGGTATTGCTATTTTGTAACTCTGGGCTTTGCATATCTTTGTTTATACCTGTTTTCCCAGCACCAGGACTGCTGTCCCCCTATGGTGCAGTGGCTTTCATTTCTTTACTCTTACAGGTACTGTCCTCCAAGACAGCATCAGCACCAGGGGTGACAGCACCATCTGGCCCACTCCTTTTAATTTCCTGACTGTTATCAAGACTGTCAAGTTTTCTAAGAAGGCAATTTTGATGTTTCTGTCTTTTAGTACAGGTGTAATTTTTTCCAAAAAGTGGCTATCGCTTGGGCAAACCCAAAAACATTTTCCTGATTTATTATCCTTCTTGGGCGATTGCTGAATATCTACACATGATGCATTATACCATTTTCTACAGAAGTTGCATGCTATCCAGGCAGAAGCCCACTTGCAACTGCATGTGCAGACTACACAGTGTTTAATGATGGTAGTTCAGTGTTGGCTATACTGTAGTTCTGTATATTATCCCAGTGTTTGATATATATACTTCTATAGCTTGTTTATATTATAGTTTCAGTGTCTTATACATCAAACTTTACTCCTATACTTGACTGATCTCCTAGTACTAACAATAGTAGTAACAACAATAATAGTAACAAAAGTAGTAGCAACATTGTTAACAACAATAGTAGTAACAACAATAGTATAAATGATAGTAACAACATTAGTAGTAACAATAGTAAAACAGTAGTAACAACAATAGCAATAATAGTAACAACAGTAGTAGTAACAACAGTAATGACAGTAGTAACAATAGTCATACGTTTGCCTGTGATACTCCAATGTAGAAACTATGTATTGTGCCAAAACAAAAGCATTCACATTGCTAAATTCACAAACTATAATTTAGTCACTTAGCCATAATACCAACTTACTCCATAATTTGTAATAATTTAGAGTTAAGAATTAATCTAAGTCTGCCCAAAATGCCTAGCCATGCTAGGTGTCCTAGTGGCCCCCTCTGTAATTAGTATCTTATAACATGTAAACCACACAATAGTAACAACATTAGTAATAGTAACAACAGTAGTATTAACAGTGGTAGTACAACAATAGTAACAACATTAGTAACAACAATAGTAGTAACAGTAGTAACAATGGTAGTAACAACAGTACTGTTGTTTCAGACGAGCCATGAACGGTGTGGATGACACAGGTTACCAGGTGGAACTGTTTGTCTACGACCTAAGTCGTGGTCTGGCCAAGACCATGTCACCTGCCTTGTTAGGTGAGTACCTAACTACCCTCTCTATCTGTCTATCTTTGTAGCTATCTGTCTATCTGTTTGTAATTGTACAGTGGAAGACTCTGTGTCTTGACTCTCCTTCCAGGCAGAGTCTACATAGTAATATTGTCTTTGATATTGTTTTTTGATGTTGTTTGGTATTGTTTACTTGGTATTATGTTATTGTTTTGTGTTGATTGTATGCTATTGTGTTTGGTATTGTTTAATACTGTTTCTTTGGTATTGTCTTTGTTTATTTCTTTGCAAGTAATACATTACAAGGAGAGTCTCTATTATACTTAGGCATTATGGGCCGACTTAATTTAATGGCTCACTGACTACTTAACATTAAAGGAATTTATCATAGTTGTACAACAGTTTTATTATTTATAAATGAATCTAATTTATATAAGCCAAAGGATATACAGTGGACCCCCACATAACAATCAGCTCCCAACTCGACTAATTATGTAAGTGTATTTTTGTAAGTGCTTTTGTAGGTGTATTTTTGGGGGTCTGAAACGGACTAATCTAATTCACAATATTTCTTATGGGAACAAATTCGGTCTATAACGGCACGCAAACAGACTTCTGAATTGAAATAATATTGTTATGCAGGGGTCCACTGTATTCATATTTTCAAAAATGTTTTTTATGATGGATGATTTAATTATATTCTTCTCAACAATGGAAAATAGATTCAAAAGTAATTATTGTAATTATATTATGGGAATATAACATTGTGATTTTCTAAAAGTAATTTACAGTATGAGAATGCTACTTTTTGGTGTAGGGCAGTACTGTTTTTGGGTTGGTATTTATACCACTATGTAGTATTAATCAATGTATGAACTTGGTCGTCGAATCTTGAAGTTTTAAGATTTAGGTGATTTATTGGTAAAGTTAAATACTGAGTATTGAGTATTTAGTTTAGGGTGAGTAAGTGGCTTTTGAGAAGAATCTTAAATTGATTTTCAGACCGGGTTTCTTTAGTATTTTCTGGTAATGATTTCCAAATTCTGGTATTGTTTGTTTGGTATTGTGTTTGGTATTGTTTGTTTTGTATTTGTTATTTTTGGTATTGTTTGTTTGGTATTTGTTATTGTCTGGTATTTGTTATTGTTTTGTATTGTGTTTTGCATTGTTTGTTATTGTTTGATATTGTACTCACCTAATTCACCTAATTGTGGTTGCAGGGGTCGAGACTCAGCTCCTGGCCCTGCCTCTTCACTGACTGCTACTGGGCCCTCCCTCCCCCTGCTCCATGAGCTTTATCATACCTCGTCTTAAAACTATGTATGGTTCCTGCCTCCACTACATCACTTGCCAGACTATTCCACTTCCTAACAACTCTGTGACTGAAGAAATACTTCCTAACATCCCTTTAACTCGTCTGAGTCCTCAGCTTCCAATTGTGACACCTTGTTTCTGTGTCACATCTCTGGAACATCTTGTCTCTGTCCACCTTGTCTATTCCGCACAGTATTTTGTATGTTGTTATCATGTCTCCCATGACCCTCCTGTCCTCCATTGTTGTCAGACTGATTTCCCTTAACCTTTCTTCATAGGACATTCCCCTTAGCTCTGGAACCAACCTGGTTGCAAACCTTTGTACTTTCTCTAATTTCTTGATGTGTTTGACCAGGTGTGGGTTCCAAACTGGTGCTGCGTACTCCAGTATGGTCCTGATGTACATGGTGTATAAAGTCTTGAATGATTCCTTACTGAGGTACTGGAATGTTATTCTCAGGTTTGCCAGACGCCCATATGCCACGGCAGTTGTCTGGTTAATGTGTGCTTCTGGCGACATACTCAGTATTACAGCGGAACTTCTACTTGCGAGTTTAATCTGTTCCATGACCTTGCTCGAAACTGGATTTGCTCGTTTGCAGAGTCAATTTTCCTCATTTAAATTAATTGAAATGCAATTAATCCGTTTCAGTGGAATTCTGTACTTCAATAATTTCGCTAATATCAACTCTTTGGCTTATTTATCTATCTCACTTCATCTAATATGACATAATAAACAATATAAATAACATACAAACCTGATATATACTCTAAAATGAATAAAATATGTCATTCATGTAGTGGTATGGGCGGTTTCAGCGGTGGACGAGAGTTTGTCTGGAGACTGGGCAAAATACTTCATGAATAATTTCACTAATATCATCTATACGGCTTATTTATCTATCATAGTTCATCCAATATGACGTAACAAACAATATAAATAACATAGAAACATGATATATACTCTAGAATGAATAAAATATGTCATTAATGTAACAGGTGGAGGCGGCCACAACCGCTCCCTCTTTGTTGCGGTAAACACTGCCATCTAGTGACGGCCTTTTGAAGCCGTCTATTATTATAATTATTATATGTAGTACATTATTATTATGTATGTATTATTATACATATTATTATTATTATTATTAAACTATTATTATTATACATATTATAATTATACATATTATTATTATTATTATTATTATTTTTATTATATAAATTGTAATTTTTATTCGCACAAAAAATATAAGATTGACTGTTATTCCTTATTGCAATAATTGTATAAATAATGTCAACCCATTCACGACTGCATATTGGAATGGACAGTGATGTCATTTGTTTACTCTGAAACAGCCAAGCAATGGACCATTTCTCCTAGGCTGAGCTCTATTTCAAGGTACTTTTTGTCGTGAAAGCAATCAAAATCATATCTGTTTCTGTAATATATCTTCAATTCTATCAAATGATACCAAAAAAACGCGAATACAACCATAAAAACCATTCGAAATTACCACTATGGGGTGGCTAATTGCTGAGAAGTGAACTCCATTATTTATGCTTAGATTTCTTTCATTTTTGGTGTACGTTAAGAAGCATCTTTCCATCATACATTGCCCAAGTTTCAATAAGATAGTCCAACAAACAAATGAGATACAATTCCCAAGATCAAGAGCAAGAGCACCTCACCAGTGTCAAGGAACTTACCTTGAGGTCTGCTCGCTTATGGAAATTTTGCTCGTGTATGGAAGCAAAAAACTGACCCATCAACTGCTCGTATTTGGAAAAACTCGCACGTGGACATGCTCGCAAGTAGAGGTTCCACTGTATACTCACTCCTGGATCTTTCTCCTTGAGTGAGGTTTGCAGTCTTTGGCCTTCTAGCCTATACTCTCTCTGTGGTCTTCTTTGCCCTTCTCCGATCTTCATGACTTTGCATTTGGCGGTGTTAAATTCTAGGAGCCAGTTGCTTGACCACGCGTCCAGCCTGTCCAGGTCTCTTTGTAGACCTGTCTGGTCTACATCCGATTTAATTCTCCTCATTAACTTCACATCATCTGCAAACAGGGACACTTCTGAGTCTATCCCTTCCGTCATGTTGTTCACATATACCAAGAATAGCACTGGTCCCAGAACTGACCCCTGTGGGACCCCGCTTGTCAAAGGCGCCCACTGTGATACCTCATCACGTACCATGACTCGCTGTTGCCTCCCTGTTAGGTATTCTCTGATCCATTGCAGTGCCCTTCCTGTTATATGTGCCTGATCCTCTAGCTTCTGTACTAATCTCTTGTGAGGAACTGTGTCGAAGGCCTTCTCGCAGTCCAAGAAAATGCAGTCAACCCACCCGTCCCTCTCATTTCTTACTTCAGTTACCTTGTCTTAAAACTCTAGTAGGTTTGTGACACAGGATTTGCCTTCCATGAATCCGTGCTGGCTGATGCTTATAATCTTGCTCCGCTCCAAATGCTCCACCACTCTCCTCCTGATAATCCTCTCCATGACTTTGCATACTATACACGTCAGTGACACTGGTCTATAGTTTAGTGCTTCATTTCTGTCTCCTTTCTTAAAGATGGGAACTACATTTGCCATCTTCCATACCTCAGGTAGTTGCCCAGTTTCAAGGGAAGTGTTGAAGATTTAGGTTAGTGGCACACACAGTGTCTCTGCTCCCTCTCTAAGGACCCACAGAGAGATGTTGTCCGGTCCCACCGCCTTGGAGGATCAAGGTCACTTAGGAGATTCTTCACCTCCTCCTCAGTTGTTGTAATTCATCCAACACTTGTTGGTATATCCCTTGTTGGTGTACCCCACATTGTGTTTGGTATTGTTTTGTTAGATATTGTATTTGGCATTGTTTGTTATTGTTTATTTGGTATTGTATATTGTTTGGTATTGTTTATTGTTTGGTATTATGCTTGGTATTGTTTGCTGTTGTTTTGTATTTGTTTGATGTTGTTGAATATTGTTTAATATTTTGTTTTGTATTGTTTGGCATTGTGTTTGGTATTATTTGTTTGGTGTTGTTTGACTGGTATTGTTACTTTGGTATTGTGTTTGGTATTTTTGGTGTTGTGTTTGGTATTACTTGGTATTGTGTTTAATATTGTTTGGTATTGTTTACTTGGTATTGTGTTCAGTAATGTGTTTGGTATTGTTTGCTTAGTATTATTTACTTGGCATTGTTTGATATTTTTACTTGATATTGTTTGGTATTCTTTAGTATTGTGTTTGGTATTGTTTGTTTGGTTTTGTGTTTATTATTTGTTTTGGTATTGTTTGATATTATTCATTTGGTAATGTGTTTGGTATTGTTTACTTTTGTGTTTGGTATTGTGTTTAGTATTGTGTTTGATATTGTTTGGTATTATTTGTTTGGTATTGTTTGACTGGTATTGCTAACTTGGTATTTTGTTTGGTATTGTTTGGCTGGTATTGTTTACTTGGCATTGTGTTTGATATTGTTTACTTGGTACTGTTTGTTTGGTATTGTTTGCTTGGTATTGTGTTTGGTATTTATTTTGGTATTGTTTACTTGGCATTGTGTTCAGTATTTTTCATGGTATTGTTTGCTTGGTATTGTGTTTGTTGTTTGGAATTGTGTTTGGCAGTGTTTGCTTGGTATTGTTTGTTTGGTATTATGTTTGGTATTGTTTGCTTGGTATTGTGTTTAGTATTGTGTTCGATATCGTGTTTAGTATTGTTTGTTTGGTA